AGGGAAAGATCATTCGATTCTCATATCATTCGATCATACCAATCATGTCATAATTCTTCATGTGTATATAAAAAGGACCCTTAACATTCTAGCCTCCATTTCCTCCACTTCAATTCCTAAGCTCAAGCAATATGTCTCCAAGTCCAATTCTCTAGCCATAGCCAAGCAAAATAATTTCCTAACCCATACATACATATATAAAAATCGACCCTCACATTCAAGCATAACCACGCCTAGATCCTAGTACACGTCCGCCTCACCCGAGCCCAGCCGCTCCAGCCAGCTCGCAGCGCACGCCCTTGGACCAGCTCCCAGCCACTGCAACCCCTTGACGTCCAACAGCTCCCAGGCCCGTGCACTGCAGCCACGTCCCAGCAACGGAGCCCCCAGCGTCCCTGCCAGCTCCCAGCGCCATCCACCACAAGCGCCCGCATCACACCGGTAGCGCTCAGATCTGCGCCCTCAGTCCCAGATCCAGTCAGCTCACGCGTCCCAACCGCAGTGCCTAGCTCTCAGCACACGCCAAGGCCTCCAGCCGCCCAAATCCACATGCCGCTGTGCAGATCCGCCCTGATCCAGCCAGAGCCGAGCGCCTCTTCCCTGATCCGTGCCACAGCAGCTCAAATCCACGCCGCACGCAAGCCGCCACCCAGATCCACACGAACCAAGGCCTCGACGCGTCCCTCACTAGCACCTTGTCTTTCTATTTTTTCAATCTAAGTCCCAAATAAGGTAAGTCAGCTAAAACCCCCTCCAATGGCTTAGATATGAATTATAAAGTATTTTAAGAATATAAAATCCTGAAAAATGAGGTGAGATTATGAGATCTAAATATTATGATGTTTAATGGTTGATTTTTAGATCTTAAGATGTGTAAGTGATAAAATTGTGATTTATAATTCTAAAATCATATAATATTGTCTTGAGGCTGAGGATTAAATTTTAGGATTTTTTGAGATCATTGCTATGTGAACCAAAATTGTAGATCTAGATCTATAATGGTCATTTTATGTTGAACAAGTTAGACATCTATTCTTGATGGGAGATTTTGTCCCAAAATCTTAAATATGTTGCTGAGGTTGTGTATTAAATTTGAGGATTTTTGGAAGTCATTTGATATGGTTTAAAAATCGAGACATTAGCCTTAAATTGTTAAATTTTTAGATGCTTGAAATGTTGAGATTTAGCTGAGGTTTGTAGATCTAAAATCCTTATAAATAGTGATGAGACTATGCATAGAGTTTCGACTTGTAACTAGTTAGGTTTTTCAGAGAACTAGAACCCTAGATCGGCTCGTTTTTTTACAACTGGGTAATATTAAAATACAAGCATAATTTCCCGAGTAATCATAGCCTAGATGGAATCTAGACATCATAAGGATCCTTTTAAGCACTTGGATGCCAGAAAAGTCGTCAGCTGGCCGGAGAGCTGCCAGTCGGGGCCACTGCCCGCGCCCAGCAGCACTGCCGAGGCCGCGTGCCTCGCAGCAAAAGAGCGCGCATGCGCGAGGCCCCAATAAGCCTCGCAGCGTGCGCCTTGCCTGCTTGCAGCGCCCGCGCGCCATGCCTACCCGCTAGCCCTGCACCACACCCGTGCGCCCCGCCAACTGCGGTCCAGCGCGCCCCTGCGCTAGTAGCCGCGGCATACCTTCTAAGACACATCCGCCAACGAGGCCGTGTCAGCCGTGTTCCGCGCATGCCCCTGAGCTGTCGCGCTGGACCCTGACCGCGGTCGAGAAGAGTCACACGTAGCCATCGAGCGACCGACCAGATCAACGAGTCGTCGGTCCAGTCCAGTCGAACTGTGGTCAGAGCAATCTGAACGGTTCGAAATTCTGGTTCGAGCGTGAGCCGAGACTTAAGCATTTTTTCGAGTCGAGTTAGTTCAAGATCAAGTCAGAAATAGTTCCGAACTTAGAATTTGAGAACCCTAGACAGCCTCAGTATAGGAATTTTTCAACTTAGCTTGTTAATTTTCTAAAAATGAGAAATGTTTTATAAAATCGAGCGAGCGAAACTAGTAAGATCAGATATTAAGAACCGAGTTTTTCAAGTTGAGCCGAATACTTAGAATATATTTGTGTAAATATTTTGTAGCTTAAGGAGAGTCGAGCTCCGCCAGCTACGCATTCTTTTCAGCATTTACATCTATTTTCAGATAGCCAATTTATATATATATATATATATATATATGTGTGTGTGTGTGTGTGTGTGTGTGTGTGTTGATGTCATGATTTTCTATTATTTTTTATGCGTATTCAGTGTTGGTTTCTGCAGAACACTTGGACTTTATGCTCACGCCCCCACATTCTATCTTTTTCAGATGACAGAGCCTAGCATGGCGCGTGAGCAGGACGTGGTGGTGGTCAAAGCAAGTGGATATTTATAAAACATATCATTAAATTTATTTTAATACCTTTGTGAACTAAGTATTTTGATAATTAACTTCCGCATCAGATATGTATGAGATCATGAGAAATTAGACTATGAATGTTTACATCCCGTAGTTTCCATGGTACATAATCTCGAGGGTGGACTAGATTTGGATGCATGCATGATTTACCAGACGAATGTCCGGGAGATAGTAAGATTTTAGATTTAGATGCATATATGCCAAATGTCTTGAGAAAAAGAAAGAGATGAAGAGAGAAGGAGATAAAGTAAGTTAGTAGCATCCCGCTAGAAAGATAAAGTGTTTCCAAAAAATTAAGTCAGAGTTTTTGAAATTGAAAGTGTTTTCAAATTATAAGGCGTAAAATACTTTACTCTGAGTTCAGTAAAGTCTAGTAATAGTAGGCGGGGTGTTACAAGAAGGGTTAAGACACTTAGGAATGATACAGATAACAGTATGGTTCCAACATTTTAACAGCCTTTTAGAATCAAAACAACTTCAAATAGCAGCACACATGTCAGATTTGATAATTGGCAAGAAATGTTGAAAGAATAAAGGGGACATACCATCCTCACTCGGAGCTTTTCTAATATTCAGGCTCTGTAAATTTCCTCTTCATCAACTTCAGCCACTAACTCTTGATTGATACTAACAGAGATAGAACGGGGGATAAATTGGAGAATCTGCTCTTTCTCCTTGCTTTCATCTGAAGTGAATAACTTAGAGTAGAACTAACAAACAGCCTTTTCAATCTCCTGCTTGGAATCACACACCCTTCCTTCATCCACAACAAGCCTGGTTATTGCATTAGTTTTCCTTCTTTCCATAGTTATGTCATGGAAAAACTTTGTGTTTCTGTTACCATTCCTGAGCCACTGATTCCTGGATTTCCGTCTCCAAAACTTCTTTTCTGAGCATTGGGCTTCTTCTAGTTCTCTTTTCATCCTGTCCTAGCTATCCCACTTCTTTTCCCCACCTCTTGCTCTTAGCTCCTCTAAACCACCTGTCAGCTGTTATATTTTCTTGGCACATTCTAATGTAAAGACTTGGCTCCACTTTAGAAGGGCTATTCTTGTTTTCCTGATCTTCTCTTTGAACTGAAACATTGATGTTCTAGAGCACAAGGAGTTCCAAGATTCTCTGACCACATCATTCACCCCATCTTTAGATACCCATCTGCTATCAAATTGAAAATGAAATCTCTTCTTTTTGCAGCTTAAACCCTCATCAGTGAGGACAAGCAGACTGTGATCAGAAGTCGTTTTGAGATAGTTCAGGACAAGGGCATTTGTATTTTGCTAATTCCAGTCGTAAGATGCAAACCCCCTATCTAACTTCTCCTCAATGAACTCATCATTCCTTTTTTCTATTGCACCATGTGAATTGGTCTCCCTGCATTCCAATCTCAAACATGCCCATTTGGTTTATGAAGTCTTGGAATTCAGACAACTCCTCTTATCCCTTTTCTCTGGCACCAAATTTTTCACTATTATTTACAATTGCATTCTATTCTCCACAGATCACCAAATTGAAGCCCCACTTAGTTTTGGCCTGGATTAAGAACACCCACTGCTCAGCTCTCAATCCCCTATCAGTACTAGCATAGATCAACTACCTAAAGAGAACCAACACCACTCTGAACAACTACCTCCACTTGAAAACAAAAAGAATGACTAATAATTTAGATAATACTGATATTTCTATCCCACAAAAAGGTTAAACCTCCACTAAACCCCAAAGGATCAACTGAGGACCACCTACCACCAAAACCCAACTTATTGCAAACAGTTCTGATATAGTGTTTTTTTTTTGTTTAAGATTGGAAAATGAACTATGGGTGGTGAACTCTAATAGAGCCCTTCAATTGGGAGACTGTAGAGGGCCTACCCAAACCTCTACATTTACACAATATCAGCTTCATTTATGAGGATGATGCCACCACCTCATTGTTCATTCGTTTGATTTTCTTTTTTCTTCTGTTTACCTTCTCCATATCATTTACAACCTCTTTCTGGGCCATACATCTTTCTCTGCTTCTTTTCAAGGGACTCTAAGTGCTCGTTGCCTATAATGATTGATTATCTTGTTATTCTGCCTTCTTTTGGCCTTAATCTCCTCCAACCCTTCTTAGACTTGGTTGAAACCTCTATCCTCTGCATAGGTCCTGATTGAGTAGTCGCAAGATCAAAAGTCTCTGGCTCCACTTTATGCATTACAGATTCAGTAGACATCAAGTCTTTAGTTCCAATTGTATCATCCTCAACACTCTGAATAGAATTGTATGTTGAGTCCCTCCACATCAACTGAAACTTTGTCCCTTCGTCTTTGCTTATAGGCCTCAAGTGAACTTCCTCCTCAGGACCAGCTGCACTTTGCTCAAAAATCCCCATACTCCTGCTAGAAGATGCTCTTTTTTCCTCAACTAAATCCTTATGTGAATCAACACTTTCTTTATTGACAGGTTCACTAATGTTTGCTGGCATAGAGAAGGTGGAATTTTCTGGTTCAGAAGATGAGTCGCTAGAATAATTAGCTTTGTAACTATTTTCTCCCTCAACTGCTTTCATCCACTCTCCATAATGATCCTCTCTAAGATTGCCCTGCTCAATGTCAGCTAACCTCCTATCACTTTGTCTTAATCTCCCACAGTAGTAGCAGAGGTTAATTATTTTTCATACTGGAAACTAATAAGCACCTTGGCAATGGTTCATCTAAATTAATTACAATGAGAAGCCTAATGAAACTACCTCTTCTTCCTCCAGCTTTGACAATTGCAACATTCTTTAGTTTTTTGAACAATTTGCCTATTTTTAAGCTAACTTCATCACTCAACCAGTTTAGAGACACATTGTTTACTTGAACCCACAGGTTAACCAAAATGCCTAACAGTGAGCCCTTCCTCCCACTCTAACAGAATCAGGTACTGGTTTTCATAGACCCTGTTGATCCCAACATGTAAGTTTTTCTTATAATCCTGATTTCCAAAGGTAAACTGAAAAATGTTGTGACTCAATTCACGAACATCAACTTGCTGCCTGATTTGCCAAATTGCACTCATGGTCCTTCTCCCAGCAAGCTTGCTTTTCTATCCCCAATCACCTTGCCAAATAAACTTCTTTCACACTCCTCTATGCTAGCTCGAATATTCTCATCCACCAATTCAATAACTCCTGTTTCTAACCTGATAGCTCAAATTCTCTGCAATTTATCCTCTAAACCATTTGTCGTCCCTTCTGAATCAGTGGCTTCCATCAATTCAGAGACTAGAAAGACCTGCAACAAAATCCCTAAAAAAACCTATAAGACACTCTGCCTTCAAAAAAAACAGAGAAGTAAAAGGCAAAGGAAACAAATAAGCTTCAAGAAGGGAACAATTGGAAGAAGATAGGAAAAAAGAAAGGGGCTCTAACCTTAGAGAATCAAGCTCCCATTTGAGAGAATCTTGTATTTTATGAATTCTCATAAAATTATAACTAACACTTTTATTAATTAAAATAATAAATTTTAAATATTATTTTATTATTTTCACTCATATTTTATTGTTATATATTTTTCTTTCTTGAATGTAAAAATGAAAGTTGTTTTGTGTATGAAATAAAAGAGACGAAAGAAGTTACTTGTTTTAATTAATGTTGTTATTCAATTCTACGCAGTCTTTTTTGTTTTACCAAACGATAAATTGCATTAAAACTCAAAAAGTACAATACAACCGATAGATCAAATGATCATAATGGATTCCACCACACAACTACATGTCCATGATGGAACCCAAACAGGGAGTAATGAATACAACCCTGCCCGCACATAAATCTAAAAGCAAGCTAAAAGAACAACTATCCTGAATCAAAGGCAAAAGAACAGAACTCAGTGTTGGAAACAAGATTGAAGATGTGATAAAAGTGATCTGCCATGGATGGAAGGCAGAATCTCCTCTCTTGAAGATGAGCCACTAAGTCCTTGTCTTGAATGTAGCAAGTGAAATCTGACCAATCCCGAGACAAAGCCTCCAAGCTCCATGAGACAGCTATAATCAGAGCTTAAACAGCATTATTAGCTTGCACCAATGATTTCTTCCAACACCAAGATTCCTCCTCATAATCAGCTCGGCAGATGGCTTCAAAACAACCCTCCAAAGAACCTAAGGTAATGACGAACAAGATCTTTTGGTCTTTGTTGCACTGAGTTGAAGATAGCTTATATTTAAACAGTTGCTCATCACCATCTGCTATGCTGGATATTTCCCACCATTCTGATAGAGCTTTTTCTACAATTTTCTTCAGTCACCTTAGAGAAAAGTAATAAACACTCTAATTAATTTAGTTGTATGATTAAAGTGAATAAAGTTTGGAGCTCCAGATATTCAATTTAAAAAGAAAAACAATGAAAATGATTTATTTTCTTATTTTTTTTATCTTTTTAATTATTACTCAAATCTTATTTAAAAAATTATTTAATATTTTTCTTAAATTTTACTATTTTATTATTTTTTTAAGAGACATGATTACTTTTAAAAAATCTAAAATGTTATATACGTTCAAAAAAATTTAGACAAAATTACATTACACCCAGGGGCTAATATTGTAACCATCATTCTGTTCTTACTTTCTTATCAAATAAATAAATAAATAAAGTTTACTCTTTCTGTTGGGTTTTGGGGATAGAATTTTTTTTTTGAGCCCAGGGAAACTAGTGGATGTATGCTTTTGCTTTGGGATGGTAGTGTGGAGATTATGAGTTCGTATAGTGATAGCTTTTCTATTGTTGTGAATTTTATAGCCGAGCCTAGGGCTTGTTCTTGCTAGGCTATTTTTGTGTATACGAGCACCTAAAGGATTGAGAGAGAAGGTTCGTGGGAATAAATTCTTCATTAAGAAAAGGAGAAATGGGGTGAGAACTTGTTTGTTGTGGGTGACTGGAATGATTTATGCCATTCAGGGAAAAGAAAGGAGGAAGATCAAGGGGGGAAAACAACTTTTTTGGTTTTAGAAATTTCATTACTTTGATGGGAATGCAGGAAGTATCCATGGAGCAGAATTAGTTTACCTATTAGTCTTCTACCCAGGTAACAAGTATATTTAAGAGTGCATCAGACCACTGTCTTTTTCTTATTGATTATGACCCTAATGCCCTACCAAGGAAAATGAGATTTCAGATTGGTATGAGATGGATTCAGAAGAAAGGGGTGCAAGAGGTAGTTCAACAAGCTTGGAGCTCTATAACTTCTAGAACACCTATGTTTTCAGTGAAGGAGAAGATAGAAAAATCTAGGTTGGCTCTTTTGTTATGGAGTAAGCATTTTCGCTCTAACAGTAGAGCTAATATTGAAAGGATATCCTTGAGTCTAGAAGAAATGAGGCAAGCAGGTGGTGAGAGGAATTAGATGGAATGGGATAAACCAAAAAAATAAAAAAAAAAAAATNAAAAAAAAAAAAAAAAAAAAACTTGACGATGCCTTTGTTTCAAGGAAGTATTCTAGCAAAAAAAAAAGTAAGATCAAATTGGCTCATAGAGAGGAATAGGAATACCAATTCTTTCATATCTATGCCCTGCAAAGAAGGAAAATGAATTCTATTGATAGGCTCCTGAATGAGGGAAGTAATGTCTGTGAAAATCAAGGGGAAATAGAGAAAATAATTTTAGAGTTGTATGGAAAGGTGTGTACCTCAGAGGGATCTAAGCAAGCACATTTAATGCTTCATCTAATCCCTAGCTCTATTACTCAGAGTATGGATGAGGAACTTCTGGCCCCTGCTGAGGAAGCTGACATTAAGAGCTAACTTTTCATCTTGAATCATGTCAAAGCACTGGGGGAAGATGGCATAATAACCTTGGTTTACTAGCATTTGTTGCCCATAATTAAAGGTGACATTTGTGTAGCCATAAAGAGTTTCTTTGAATCAGGCCAGATGTTAAGGTATTGGAAACATACTTTGATAACTCTTATCCCAAAATGCCTGGATCCTATATCTCTCAACCAATTCAGATCCATTAGTTTGTGTGTTGTTTTTCACAAGACTATCTCTAAGATTCTTGCTCTGAGACCTAAGAATAGTCTTCATGTGTGTATCTCCGAGAGTCAAGTTGCCTTTTCATTGTGGAAGGCAGCTTTTAGATAATGTTGTAATTTCCTATGAAGATTTTCACTTTCTCAATAGGCATAAAACATGCAGGAATTTTTATATATCTCTGAAGCTGGATATGGTGAAAGCTTATGATAGGCTTGAATGGTAAAACGTTCAGTTAACTATGCATAGGATGGGGTTTCAATGCAATATTTGTCAAATGGATAATGGCCTACATTCATTCTCCTTCTTTTTCTTTGAACTTGAAAGGAAATCCTTGTGGTTATGTAACTACTCCTAGAGGAATCAGACCGGGGGATCCATTATCCCCCTATCTATTTATTCTTATGTCTGAGTTTTGTGTGCAAGGTTAAACCTGAGACTGAAAGGGGAGGTTTTGAAGAAGTGAGGATGGCTAGAGGAGGTCCAATGTTGACACACCTACTGTTTGATGATGATTCATTGATTTTTTGGAAGGTGGAGGAGGGTCAAATTCAAAAGCTTTTGGCAATCTTGAAAGACTATAAGTCTTTTTATAGGACGAATGGTAAACCTGGAGAAATGTATATATTTTTTAGCAAAAATACTAATCTGTCTACTCAAGAAAGATGCTTTAGTTTGTTAAATGGTATTAAAAAAATACTTTTTTACCAGATATCTGGTTCTTCCCTTGGGGATTGGTAAGTCTAAGAAAGAAGCTTTCAATTATATTCTTTCTATGGTGAGAAGTAGAATCTAGAGTTGGAAGAATAAGTGGCTTTCTTCTACATGAAAGGAAATTTTAATCAAAGTAGTGTTAAATGCACTGTCTCTGTTTGTTATGTCCTCTTTCTCTTTACCACTTGGTTTATGCAAGAAATTTGCTAGTACTTGTGCAGAGTACTGGTGCAGTAAAGGTGGAGATTTTTCATAAAGGGATTCATTGGAGGAGTTGGGATTTTATATCTTTACCTAAGCAGAATGAGGGACAGGGTTTTCAGGATATCCATTTTTCAATTAGGCCCTGATTGCAAAGAAAATTTAGACATTGCAGACTCAACCAAACCTTCTGATTAGAAGGATTTTGAAATCCAAGCATTTCTCTTATTCTTCTCTGTTTGATGCTCAGAAAAGAAAATATTCTTCATTGTGGAATAGTTGGCTAGGTGTTAGGGATAGTTGTGGCAAATGGATGATGGTGGAGGTAGGAGATGGGTTGAATGCTATGATTCTAGGGGAAAAAGTTAAATCTCAAACAAGGGGCTGACAGTGGTTTGATCTGTGTCTGAGATTTGTTAACTACTGATGGCGGGGATCGAGATGAAAGAAAAGTACATCAGTGCTTCCATAAGGAGGAGGCTGCATCTATTATGAAGATCAATTCTCTTAGCTCAGATGCTTTTGACAGATGGGTGTGGTCCCTTGATTAAAAAAATAAAAATAATAAAAAAATAAAATAAAAAAAGGTATATGTTCTGTGGCAAATACTTATTCCTATCGCATTGTACAGAAAATTCTCAAAATTGATAGGTCTCAAGGGAGTGAGGCTGTCAACAAGGATATAAAAATAAGAAACAGATTATGGAGGTTGAGAGTTAAAGGTAAGATGAAGCATTTTATTTGTCAATGATGTACATGTATCTTGCTCTGTGGGACTCAGGGGGAAACAATTGAGCATGTGTTGTTTCATTGTGCAAAAGCCAAGAAAGTATCAAAACAAGCTCTAGTCATGTGGGATGGTCCAAATGGAACAAAATCTTTTCAAAAATAGTAGTGGCAGATTAGTAAATTGAATAAGAGTGGGGTTTTAGACGCCCGAATTCAACTCTCGACTTACATATTGTGGTGGCTATGGATATGTTGAAATTTGTGGCAGTTTGAGGCAATTTGGATGCCTACCCCTCTCATCTCAAAAGCTCTAGTGAGTGATTGATCAGTATACCTTTAGGTGACCCGACTAGTAGGCTTTAGAAGAAGGAGACAACAATGAAGGCAACTAGGTTCCTTTGGTCCTGTGGTGGCTCTTCTGTTGTTTTGCTTTTTATATTTATGTTTCTTGTATTGTATGGTATTGTATGGGTATAAGGGTTCAGTTTTGTTGTAACTGCCTTTGATCTTTGTGTTGTTTGGTCTGGTCTAGGCCACCTATGTGTGGTTCTCCCTTATTTTCGGCTTTCAGTCCCGGATTGTTTTGTATTCAAACTTTGTTTTGGTTTTTTATTGAGTATTTTTCTATTTGTGTTTTAAAAAAGGAAAATTAAAAGGCACCAATTATTTTATCCTTGTTCATTGATTTGGAGAACACTAAAATATTATGGATAGAGACTAATTTCAAATATAATTTAAGGATTAGGTATTTACCTCTAAAAGTCTCCTTGATTAATTAAATTTTGTTTACATTAATATATGTTTTCTATGCGACTCTCCGAATTTAGTATAAAAAAATTGTACGGCCTCCATCCCACACGTGATACACCATACTATTTCGGTCCCACTGTAATTACTGCAAATTAGACCACAGCAAACATTAATTAGCTATGCCCATAATTTATTAATTACCTCATAATTAATACATGAATAATGGAGAGGCCCCATCTTCTCATAAATACACACCACCACCACCTCCCTTAAAACAAGCACTCCGCTCAGGTCGCTCTTTTCAGAGNAAAGATGACATGAACACGGCACTCCTAATTCCGCCCGCGGATGAAGATGAATTGCAAGCCCCTCGAGCGTGTAGCGGCCTCGGCTACTTCACCCACTCCTTCACACCTGATGCGGACGACATCCCCCCCATCACGAGCGCCGGAGTATTGTTGAGGGAATTCAGAGTGGAGTTTGGGAAGCTGTGGTATTTGGCGGCCCCGGCCATGTTTACCTCCATCTGCCAGTACTCGCTCGGGGCCGTCACCCAGACCTTCGCCGGCCACATCAGCACTCTCGACCTCGCCGCCTTCTCGGTCGAGAACACCGTCATCGCGGGTCTCAGTTTCGGAGTCATGGTACCATCATCACCATTCATTTTTCCTTTCTTTTTTTTTTTTATTTTTATTTTAGGTTATGTTTGGTAAAACTAGCTTATAGCTATTAAGTTAGCTTATAACTTATTAGTAATTTTTGAGCTTATAACTTATGACTTATAGCTGAAAAGCTATCTTATATGATAATAAAATTAGCTGATAAGTTAGATGAAATAAAAATTTCAAACGAGTTTATTTGAAAACATACCTAAAAAGCTTATGAAAAAAGCTCGTCCTACCAAACCAAGTTTATTTAAATACATGATGCTTATAAGATAATCAAATAAGCTATATAAGCTAGTTTATTTGTCTACCAAACATAACCTTAATCGAAAAGAATTGGTTAAGTGACTACGAACGATGACGTGTGAGTGTGGCAGTGGGGAATGGGAAGCGCGCTGGAAACGTTATGCGGGCAGGCGTACGGCGCTGGGCAGATGGAGATGCTGGGCGTTTATATGCAGAGATCGTGGATCATCCTCCTCGCCACCAGCCTCCTCCTCACCCTCATCTACGTTTTCGCAGAGCCCATTCTGCTGGTATTGGGCCAGGACAAAGACATCTCTCGGACCGCGGCCCAGTTTTCGTGGTGGATGATCCCTCAGCTATACGCCTACGCCCTGAACTTCCCCATCTCAAAGTTTCTACAGGCCCAGAGCAAGATGATGGCCATGGCCTGGATCTCGGCCGCTGCACTTGTCATCCACGTGGCGCTCAGTTGGCTTCTGATGCTGAGGCTCGGGTGGGGGATGGCTGGTGGGGCCCTCGTACTCAATGCCTCGTGGTGGTTCGTGGTGGTGGCCCAGCTTGTGTATATATGGGCTGGGGCGTGCCCACAAGCATGGACGGGATTCTCGTGCCAGGCATTCCGCAACCTTTGGGGATTTGTAAAGCTGTCCGCGGCCTCTGCTGTTATGCTCTGGTCTATCCCTTCTCCGCGTTTCTTTTGTTGACTCGGATTAATTTATTTAATAACTACTAATTTTTTATTTTTTATTTTTTTGTTTCAAATGATTAACTACTTACTTGCAGTTTAGAGATGTGGTATTTTACAGCGCTCGTACTCTTTGCTGGATACCTCAAGAACGCGGAACTTTCGGTTGACGCATTATCTATATGGTTAGTATTTAATGCTCTCTCTTTTCAACATTTGTGTGCGCTTCTTACTTTGCTTAAAATAAAAGTATTGCCTATTTCCTAAGAACGTGGGTCTAGTTAATAAAATTATCTTCAATTCAAAGAGACTAAGGTAGATCGGGTTTTTATTTCTAGCTACCACGTCAGCAGTACAGAGTCCACTTATATTTTTCTAGATTGGTCTATCTTTTAGGTGAATATATTTTTCTAGACTGGTATATCTTCTACGTGGCATATAATTTTTTATTTTTTTTATTGAACCAAACATTGTGAATGCTCTTAGTACAATATTTATAAATTAAGAGTATGAGTGAAAAATATTGAATATTAATTCTAAATTAAAAAAGAGAGAAATTAAATAAAATTTATAAATAAAAAGTATGAGTAAAAAATACTAAATAATAATTATAAATTAAAGATGTGCCTAAACAATATTAGATATTATAAAGTAAAGATGTGGGTTTAAAATGTGATATAATTTACGCACAAAAGTTTGTTGTAAATAATATAAAATCATCTTATATATAAAAGAACATAAAATAAAATAAAATTATCTTATATATAAAAGAACATAACAATGTATGATTAAAATATTAAAAACTCATAAAATATTATATAACATATGTAAAAGTATCTAAAATATTCTATATTGTTTTTGAAACACTTAAATTTAACATCTATATTCAAATATATAGATATAGATCTTAATATAGAAAGTGTAAAAAATGTTCACATATAACAAGTTTATATAAAATATTAAATGTGTGAATAATATATATTATAGTCTAAAAAACTAAGTTATTAAACCGACAAAGTCACCTCGTGAAAGTTCTACTATTATAACAAACAATTTGACTAAAAAGATTTCGAAAATTTGTTTTTTTATGCTTAGCAAGTCTACATACGGCCGGCTGGACTTATCAATTTAATAAATACAAGTCAACCTCCGACAACAAATACAAATCGAGATGCGAGATTCATGTGAATATATTTTACACATAGGTGTATTAAAGTATTTAGTTTTATTGTTGAATAATGTGTGAAAGCATCCAAATTTTTAGAAAAATGATACATAGCCAACTTAGTGTACAACTAGATTGACAATGTAGCATTTTCCAAAATTTTATAGATCATTAATCTAGGGTAAAAATAATTTGATTGATTAGAAGTAATTTTACATTAGAAGATTTATATAGAAATTATAAAGTAAATATTGACTAATTATACTGAACTAGATTTACCCCGTGCATTTGCACGAAAAGCGATATAATAGAAGTGAAAGTATTTAAAAATATAAAATAAAATAAAAATCATAACTTAATAAATGAGAAAAAAATAATTTAAAAAAATGAACCTAAATATTATTAAATACTTCTTTATAAACAACATTCGTGGTTTTCCTATCGTCAAAATTACCATCACAACAAATCATTATCGTTAAACCTCTTCGACTCGTGATTCTGAGAATTGATTTTTCAAAATATTTGATTTATCTTTGTAATATCTGAAAAATATTTCTTTATTATTATTGACTGCAATAGAAAATAGAGATATTTGTAGTCATTCTTAATTAGTTGTGACAAAAATATTCTGTATTTCAGGACATAAAAAGTCGTTACAGAAATGGGTATCATCCAAAATTGGATAGATAAAAATAAATTGTGTAACTGAAAGTTACATATTATTATTAAATGGTGAACATATTTTTAATAAATAAACACCTATTTTTATTAAATGGACTCATATGCTTATGAATTATTGTCTGAATAAAATTTATCTAGGCTTGCCA